GTTGTGTTGTCAGTGGGATTAAAATTGTAAATCATGACCAATGAAATAAAAGCATGACATATCTACTGTCAATTAAAATTCAAATTAAAATTGGCATCGCCGCGCTAAAAACTCTCATAAGAGCGGCGGCGCACTAGCAATTTAATGTAGATTATTTTTGTATATCGCACCTTTCGCGCTAAACCCCAGTTTTCTATATATTTAAGAAATACTGATAAAAACTACTAATTTACCAACTTTCCTCCCCTCGACGCTTTTTACTAAATAATATGTAAACTGTATAGAACAATTTGGAGTTGGAGGGCCGGTCGAGATTTCATTGGCAGTCACGACTGTCTGGCCGTCGCTGCCATTGGCAGTCACGTGCGCGGTGTACATTTGAACACAATGTTTGTATTTTGCCGCTCACGCGAATGAGCCGCCAGTGTCCAAGCGCCCTTCCTAAATTATCTAAACATTCTATACCAATCTCAAATGAAAGGTACCCACACCTATGGAAAATTCTTTTCTATCTATTAAATATACTAAATTGTATTAACACCATGTACCCCTACTTTCTTCTTCAACCGTCTCCTAACAAAATGATAAATCTAACTCTGACGTCACAGCAGGATAAAAATTAATTAATTCCTAACTTGCAATGTTACTATATGCGTAATTGAAGTGACATTCTCATTTTTTTTTTTTTTTGGTTGGATCCATCGTTCCTCGAAATGGGGGTTGAAATATATTGTGTGATCAAAACTCTCTAAACCTTCCCCATATAGTTTTTATTCGTTGAAGTTTTTAAAAATAGCGACTATAGTTTCGGCGTACTGCCATCATCAGGCGACTAGAAGTTTATCACAATATAGCAAATTTGAAAACATTAAGAGCTAGTACTTACTGTGAAATTTAACAAGAAAATGGTAGGTTACAAACGTTGAAGACGAATAAGACGAACATGTTGTTTTTTAATTATTAACTGGCCGAAGCCAAGTGAAAAAACCTGAAGGGTGGTTAAACCGGAAAGGTTGTCCTAAGTTTCAAAACGAATTATTATCAAGCCTTGTTAAGACAACCAACCGGAGGGTTGAATTATTACATTAGAGTTGAAAGTTGAATTTAACCTATAAAGTTTTAGATTTAAAAAATAAATTATCTAAAGGGTACTTACACATTTTAAAAGAACCGGGGGAAAAAAATAAACTTATAAAAGTTTTGAAACTATTAAGATGACTACATATTTAAATTATTTAAGTTAAGTTTAAATTCGAGATCATGCAGACGGCATGTCTAGAAATGATTGACAAACCGGTATAAGAGGAAACTGACATATCGATAAATTTATAAATTTTGAAAAGATATATAGGGTGAATTGAAATTATTGTAAAAACAGAAGATTGTTATTGAAGCCGAGAATTTCATTAAGAGAGAGGTGCGGGTTCTTTTTAACTTGGTGGTGAATTTCTTTCAATTCCAGAAAGTTCAATCTTATACCTTTATTGCATATATGTAGAATTTCGAAATCGGTATTCGGATTGAAGGAGTGACCCGTTTCCAGGATGTGTGAAGCGAAAGAGGATTTTATTGAAGAGGAATTATTGTTTTTAATGCATTGAAAGTGTTCTTGAAACCTAGTAGAAAATTTTCTCCCTGTTTGGCCAATGTAGGAAGATTTACAGGTGGGGCAATTAAGTTTGTAAATGCCAGATTTGTCTATTAGAGGGATTTGGTCTTTTGTGTGTGAAAGAACTGACTTTAGATTGCTGTTGGCTGTAAAGATTATTCGGATGTTGTATTTTTGGAAGGTGTTTTGAAAACAATGAGAAAATTCTCCGATATAAGGCAATACTTGATATGTGGTTGGAGTATCTTCTTGTAAGAGGGATAAACTGGTGGTATTGCGGATCTCGGATTTATGAAGGAGTTTGAATTGGAGATTTTGGATCAATTTTAACGGGTAATCATTTTGGGCGGCTAGTTGGTACATAATCTGGAGTTCTGCGTTGTATTTGGTTTGGTTTAAGGGTAAATTGAAAAGTCTGTGGAAATAGAATCTGAACGCTGCAAGTTTATGTTGGAGAGAATGAAAGGAGGTGAAGTGGATTATATTACTGGTGGTGGTGGGTTTTCTATAAATTCCAATATCGAGTTTTTGGCCTAGATGTTCAATTGAGAGATCTAAAAAATTGAGGGTTTTGTGGGACTCTAATTCGAGGGTAAATTTTAAGTTTTTATGTAAGGTATTTAAGATGTTGAAGCAATTGTTTAAATCGGAGTCATTGCCTTCAAATATTACAAGGATGTCATCTACATAGCGTTTATAAAATTTAAAGTGTTGCTTGATGGTAGGCTTGGATAAGAGTTTTTTAATTTCTAGATTTGATAAGAATATTTCGGCAAGTAAAGGCGAAAGGTTATTCCCCATAGGGAGACCGGATTTTTGTGTATATTGTTTTTTATTGAAGAAGAAGAAATTTTGGTTCAAACACTGATCTAGACATTTGATTAAAAATTCGGAAGTTTGATCTGAGGCATTAGAATCTGAAAGTAAATTTTGAACTATCGATCTGCATTCTCCGTATGGGACGCTAGGAAACAAATTGACTATATCAAAGGAAATGAGGCGTTGGGATTCTGAAATCTTAGTTTTTGAAAGTTCATGAGCAAATTGAATGGAGTTTGTTATTGAATGTGGGGAGGACCATGGTAGAAGGGTTGTCAAGCACGAGTTTAACCACGTAGATAGTTTGTGAACTGGTGTGTTGGTAAAAGAAACGATAGGTCGTATCGGGTTGTTGGGTTTGTGGATTTTTGGAAGAGCATACAATCTGGGGATGGATGGATTCATAAGAAGGAAAGACGTGTAATAAAGGTTGAATTCAGTTTTGATGAAGTCCTTATAAGAGTGAATAAACTTTCTGAAATTTACTGTGAAGTTATTAAAATTTATCTTCGAGTTACTGAAATCATCCCCTTTAAGGAAATTCTCCACTTTGCGGACATAATCTTCTTTATTCAACCCTCCGGTTGGTTGTCTTAACAAGGCTTGATAATAATTCGTTTTGAAACTTAGGACAACCTTTCCGGTTTAACCACCCTTCAGGTTTTTTCACTTGGCTTCGGCCAGTTAATAATTAAAAAACAACATGTTCGTCTTATTCGTCTTCAACGTTTGTAACCTACCATTTTCTTGTTAAATTTCACAGTAAGTACTAGCTCTTAATGTTTTCAAATTTGCTATATTGTGATAAACTTCTAGTCGCCTGATGATGGCAGTACGCCGAAACTATAGTCGCTATTTTTAAAACTTCAACGAATAAAAACTATATGGGGAAGGTTTAGAGAGTTTTGATCACACAATATGTGACATTCTCAATTAAACTATTACGTACATGAGAAATCTACGTACGTACGCGCTATCTATACCAAATAAAAACTGCCCCTATGTACGTTGATTTGCTTAACCCTTAACTTATTCTACGAACATTGCGCATAAGGCCTTGCAAATTCAAATTTATAGGAGCAAACACACTAATAAAACGGCAAGCAAGTAGTACAAATAATTACTCTACATCCTATGCTAATTGCTTACTGTAATTACAAAGGAAAATAAATGATACATTAAAAAGATTCGCTGCAAAACATTTCCAGTGGTGTAGCTTGGGGTTTTCTCCTTTAATGGAATGCATAAAATCCGGAACGATAAAATTCCAAAGCTGTCACATATGTTACATCACATTACTGAAATGCTTCAAAACGGAGGTATATGATCAGATTAAGAAGAATCCAACTAATAACATATGTAGTTACCGAAACGATAAAATAACAACAAAGAAACTGAATTCCTGAAAATAATGTTATAGCTGTTCTTAGGGCCAGTTTTTCATGTTTTAGTTATGCTTATCTGATAGGCAACCTTTTGTGTGAATATATTTGTTTCCATGGAAATGAACTATTATATAAGTTTAACGCAAAGAATGGCGCACTATTTATTTTTATCACATACTACTAAAATATTAGCTGCCTGCTATTCTCCGTTGGAATAAATGTAATTACCGTTTGCTGTTTCCTGAGCTAAATGTGACAGATTATTCACGCTTGCTATTTCTCTTGTTGAACTTTTCTGTGCGTTTTTTTAGAAAAACATTCCGTTAAAATGTTACCTGCCCTATCATGTCGCTTGAAATATTAGGTGTTACATCAATAAATGCTATGGGGTAAAGGGAGTTTCCTTTTAGTGAGCGAGTTTGCGTTAAAAAATAAATTCTGAGAGATTAGAGAATCAAGTTTCAATAAGTTCTTACATTTTGGAAAGGGAACACGACATCGCACAAATTGACAAATCATTACATAAATATAGACCCATCTGGAGATGAAATTAAAATTATTTGGCCTTAAAAACGACCCGAGTAGCGACAGACGTAGAAAAAGACGTCAACCGTCGAAATGCTCAAACACCACAAAACGAAAAGGCTCTCGGATATACGTTAAGTTGAACAATAAAAAGCAAATCGAAAAGTAACTTGAGCAGTTCGAAACAAAACAAAAGTGGTACTTTAGATTAAGAATTTTTCGAATAAAACAGCTAAACTTTAAATTCCGGAAGAGCAGGGAACAATATATTCCCTAGACGTGCGAATTTCTAAACGCTTTCTAAAAGAACGAGGCGGCATTTGTCACCTGATAAGATATACGGGAAAACTCCCGACAAATCTGTATACACATGTATCTACCCCGCATCAAGCTATCGGTAAAAGTTTATGGGATTTTTTACTGTTTTAGTTTGGGGCGATCCGAGTGGGTCGAAGAAATCGAGAGAGTGGCTCAAAAACGCTCAAAAGAAACTTATAATGATATTGGTCGAAGTCAAATTATATACTGCGAAGCGAGCGTGATATAAAAACTCCCCTTTACAAAAACTGCTCAAAGAAGAGTTGATTATTGCGGTGGCACATTTATACTAGACGCGCGATATTAAACTTTTACGAAGCACAAATACGTCCAAAAACACTCACCTACCCCTTCCTCGTTTCACGCCACCTGAAAACAAAACCCAAATTAGTAAATACAGAAACTCATCGCGCTAAATAAATGCATGCGCTGGTTTAATGCGCCAACAAAGTAGAATAATGGTACACATATCGGATTAGAGCATACGGGGCTTTTACGTCGCGATAACCGAGGTCATTGTGGAAATAATGTCCGTCATAACACTCCTTAAGGTGGAAGAAAGATGGACCTAATTTTCCATTTTTTATTGTTTCGTGCAGTGTCTAGTCATTAGGAAAGCTTTGGCTTTTAACGTTGAAAGCTTTTCACCTCGACGCGTAATGATTTTGTTTACACCGATTACGAGATCGTTTCATAGTTGAAGTGGGTATTAAGGTGTATAAATTGTTTTACCCTACTTACGAGCTTGAAGAGGCGAAACTTTACTTTCGCTCATAGTGGGGATATAAATAAATTTGACTCAAATTTTGTGTAACCTTGACATTCGCGTGCATTGGTTTTCTTGGGGCGTTTTTTCTTAGTGTGGTATGAAATAAAATGACATGAAACTTTATCTTTCATGGTATTCTAATTAAAGGTCTCAACGAAACGAACCGTTTTCTACCAACTGCCGCCCTTCCCGATCATATGCACTTATCTTAATAGAGATCATTTGATTGCAACTGCGTATTCGGCATGAGGTCATTGCAGCATCGCGGAATTCGTAGTATAAAATGAATCAACGATTAAAGATGTCCGATTTTGTTAATAAGAAGCCATTTTGTAGGCGTTGATTAATAAGTAAGAAATTAAGAGGAGGAGGATCATTCCGGGATAATATTGCATTGATCCGGTAGTGAAGTGCGGGGGTATTCACCGAGCCAAAATTTAAGTTCGAGATTGAAGGTGAAACTGCGATATAGTATGTTAGCCAGGAACTGAAGCATGATTCAGTTTTCATTAACGAGAGTCTTGACCTCATTGGTAAAATAAAGTTTCTTTTAGTGAAAGCACGGAAGATATAACCATTTCGGTGATTTCATCTATGCCAATGATGTGTCAAAGGTGAAACTCGAATTAAAAATTTTCCGAGAAAAGAAAAGCGCGAATAAGTAAAGGGACTCGTTCGGAAACAAAATATTACCTTTAAACGCGAAGAGTTATAAAACATTTTTTCGTTGAGTGCGCACTATGAAAAACAAGTCATTTTGTAGCTCCAGGTAAAGAATAAACCTCGGAACCTCGGATTGTATAGTTTGTGTAAAAATTACGTTGATAGAGTTCAACAAAACAAAACAAGAGTGACACTTTGATAATTAAAAAAAACAATCGTAATGGCGGTTGCGCGTTTTTTTGGTAATTAATTAATAAATTCGCGCAGTAATCTATGAAAACACGAAGCTTTTCCCGTTGAACATTATTGGTTTAGTTAGAGCAACATTGACAACATTAAAGTGATTTACACATAAAATAGCATTCATTTTCACTATGGAGATCTCATAGTCTAAGAGCCAGTGAAAAGCAGACCCAACATATTTCAGTAAACCCTCAATTTTGTCCAAAGACTCTCTTATACTTACTGTTCATGAGTGGGGGACTAGCTTAGCCAGATCGAAGTAGGTTGAGTGGCGCTCGGGTGAAACAGCTATAAAAATTACACCATATTCGAAAGTATTTCAGTAAAGCTGCCATTGACATATTTTAAATTATATCATTTCTTTTATTGGAAAATCACGATGGCAGATAGTTATGGCGGTTGTGAAGTCACGGCAGACTCAAATTGAAAAAAAAATTAATTTAAAAAATATTTCAGTAAATCTGAAATTTAAATATGTTATTCTTAACAGTCTAGCTTACATTTATCATGGCAGACATTTTCATCGGTTATAACAATCTGGCAGACAGATAAAGTACCGCTCGAGCATACGTATACATGTGACCAGTAAGTAAGTACTTACCTACTTCTCTGTCAGTTTAATTAGCATGTTCTTGAATTTACTATTACCTACTATTATTAAGCATCCTCAGATCTAGCCTCAGATCCTTTATAGTTTTGTATTGTCGTCCGTCCGTCCGTCCGTGCTATAACTCTTTTTTTAAAGTGGCAGATCCTGTTGAAATTTGGTATACGGGTACTTTGGACATTAAGGACGGACGCTACTGATTTTCAGGAAAGTGGCTCAACAGGAACAAAAATTATTAATTTTTTTCTTAACATTCAATAGGTAATACAAAACTAATGCTTTTTGCTTTTAAAAAAATATATATTGTTCGATACATCCTGATGATGCTGATGGGACTTAAATTTACTGTAAGTCCCATCAGGATCATCTTCGTCATTAGATAGGATTAGAGCAAGATTTTGCAAACTGATTTTTTGGTATAAAATAAACCATTTCGAGACAGCCAATTGATTTAACCTTGGAGCAAACGATAAATGCAGATTCTGCAAGAAAACTCACAGGAATAGTTCATTTGACAGACTCAACATCTGCTCCTCAACGTTGGGCAAGGAGTCATGACATTCGCTCTACAATAATCACTCATGTTTTAGAGGAGTTAGGGATCGGAAAAAATCAAGACATTTCTGCAGAATGACAGTTGTCCAATATTAAAAAAAACTGCGACCAACTGGCGAAATTTGTTAATACTTTTGACCAGTACCTTAATACATTTATTACGAACTTGTCTGCAAATAAATTGTTTAATATTGCGTCTGGAAAAGCTGCTACGCTAGAATTTTCTTTTCAATGTTGAACAAATTGGCAATGGTCAAAGAGAAAAATTTATAGATGAATGTTCCGCTGATAGCAGTCGGGTTGAAAAAAAAGTATTAAAAAAACACCTATCCATAATTTTACTAGCCTCATAGAAAAAAGAAAAAAAAATTAAATTAGGCGGAAAAGATTCAAATACAACGAAATTTGTTTGGACGTATGCTTGGGATTTCTATGGACCACAAAATCGATATTCTTAAAACGTTATCATATCCAATTACTTCTGTTTCTCTTTCTTTATGGCATTTAGACGGTGGAATCTGTAATACTGATAAGTCAGTTCTTGCTAAAAATCTGGAAGCCAAAATTAGCCATAATCCGCCACCTTATACGGATGTATACTTAATCGATGGATTTGTTATATTACATTCTAATTTAATTTAATCCTGCTTTCTTTAATAAGGGAAAAAAAGACCACTAACCTTGTTGAAAAAAAATATTCCATTTCAAGAAGCCTTTACAGCTTTAGGTGATATGATGTGATGTTTTTAAAAGCAAAAAGCATTAGTTTTGTATTATTGAATGTTAAGAAAAAAATTAATAATTTTTGTTCCTGTTGAGCCACTTTCCTGAAAATCAGTAGCGTCCGTCCTTAATGTCCAAAGTACCCGTATACCAAATTTCAACACGATCTGCCACTTTAAAAAAAGAGTTATAGCACGGACGGACGGACGGACGACAATTCAAGAACATGCTAATTAAACTGACAGAAAAGTAGGTAAGTACTTACTTACTGTACACATGTATACGTATGCTCGAGCGGTACTTTATCTGTCTGCCAGATTGTTATAACCGATGAAAATGTCTGCCGTGATAAATGTAAGCTAGAAATACTGTTAAGAATAACATATTTAAATTTCAGATTTACTGAAATATTTTTTAAATTAATTTTTTTTTCAATTTTGAGAAGCGTCTGCCGTGACTTCACAACCGCCATAACTATCTGCCATCGTGATTTTCCAATAAAAGAAATGATATAATTTAAAATATGTCAATGGCAGCTTTACTGAAATACTTTCGAATATGGTGTAATTTTTATAGCTGTTTCACCCGAGCGGCACTCAACCTACCTCGATCTGGCTAAGCTAGTCCCCCACTCATGAACAGTAAGTATAAGAGAGTCTTTCGACAAAATTGAGAGTTTACTGAAATATGTTGGGTCTGCTTTTCACTGGCTCTTAGACTATCATAAACAGTAAGAGATACAAAGTTGCTTAAATGGCCAAAGTTATGCAGAATTTTATACTGATTTTCCCATTCAAAGTGCCGAAAAATGTCATTCTCGAAAATGCACTGGTGTAAATTTTCAAAGATATCAAAAATAGTTTTAACAAACCCGTAGTAATTTTTTCTCAGCTTTCTGATGGTGTCAAAAAAATTTTATGACTGTTGGCTTTCGGGTAAATCACATCAATTAATCAATCACCAGCGATTCCGTATCCGTAAAATGTACATTGCATTTTCCATCGTCGAGGAAATGTTGAGACATCCCATGGATATCCAAATTAGACCCAATTTCCATTCGAGCTAGGGTAATCAAAGAAGTATCCATTCCACAGAGGAAACCGATTCAATTTTGTATGCGAAGGAAATCACAAACTTCATCAAAGACAATGTGGAAATGTAAGTTCATTTTATCAATTAATTATATGTCAATTTGAATCCCAATTAGAAGTCCAGTTAGAGTTTTATTTTTCTACGGAAAATTTTCTAATTTCTGCTTCTCCCAATGTTATTTCCGATTTTATTTAAAATTTGAGTAGTGATTTCATTGGAATTTGCGGATTTAATTGCAGCCTTCGGCTCTTTCAAGTGTATAAGAGTTTTAAGTCAATGTTAGGACCTTATTGTTGAGTCCAAACCCATTTGTGCCCCGATAGAAAATTTTAAAAATCAAAAGGAAACTAGATAGTGTAAATTGAGCTAACTAGCAGCAACATATTTGTGTTAATATCATCTTGCTAGGAAATCAGGAATCAAACTAAAAAATAATTTTCGAGTTCAGTTAAAAAGTCAAAATTTAATTTCAAGAAGGGAGGTCCAACCCCCTTATAGTGCAAAAAAGCCGGCTGCAACCACTCGGTCGCATCATATTAGCATAGTCACATACTGTAAAGAGCAGAACAATGTCAATACTCAATGGTAATTGTATTCTTGACTGTGCTCGATGACCTTATATCTTCCCAAGTTTAAACAAACACGTCGCGATCTTTTATTCAAGCTCTATCAACAGCAAATTCATGTTTATTTCACAACTCCAAATGCACGTTTTGC